GGTGGCGAGCGAAAAGGGCGTGTTGGCGTAAGAAGTGATGTAATGAAAAATAATAATAATAAGGTGCACTATCATATATATATATATATATATATATATATATATACTACTGAGTACCGGGTGTACAATTTGTGACGCTAAAGAAGCGTCTCACACGTCCCTTCTCTTTTTTAATAGCAAGTGATGCACTGAAACTGACTGTCCTTTAAGACGTTACTCATTAAAAATCTATGGAGAATCGGCAGAGCTAATGTAATTGTATTAGATTTTCAAGAAATTTTAATTTTTGGATTTGAATTTTTTTATTTGTGTTTAATTTGAAACCAAACTCTTACCACCTGACACATATGTATGTATGTATGTAAATATGGACATACATATATTCTTTTTCTCTTTTACTCTTGTCTAAGCCAAAATAAAACTTGTTCTGTTGTCAGGCAAAGAATCGAGAATGGACAATGGCATCAATAATCCCCTCTTTCCGGAAGATCACAATTACGCTGGATTAGAGTGGAATTTGACGTTCACATTCACGACCATTATGTGTACCCTTCTTCCTCAGGATTGTATATTGTTGCATTTTTTAAAAGGGCCCATTGCGCTGCACACGTGCAAGGGTCAAATGCACACAGAACAGACAGGTAAAAAGCCAAACAATGGAACATAAAAAGAAACCCCAAACACATCAAAAACGAATGATAAAAGAGGATTAAACCCTAAACCCTAAACTGACCCAAAACTAATGCACCTCACGGACGCAAACGGACTTCGGCGGGTTCTTACCGGAATCCACGAAAAAGCAATCATAATCGCGGAGATCGTTGAGATGACCTGATGATGTTTGCAGATAACACAGTAGCAACACTGATGGCTTCTTTTCAAATAAGAGACCTCCTTTTCGTTTAAATTAATTTCCATCTCCAATTCACCAATTTGAAAGATAAGAGAACACTAAAAACGCATTCCATATATATATGTATATATCTATCATATATATCATATCGCCGAATAGAGAGTAGGTTGGATCATTAACATAGCTATTTGTTGTTAGTTTTCACACTTTTCCTCATGCACGGGCGTGTATGTGTGAAAAGTGATGTAAATGTAGATGACAAAATTTTTAAAATCTGGTAATATTTTAACGCTTGTTTTAGAGTGTTACTGTTTGGAAAATATTAAGCTTTAAAATGCAAAAATGTAGATTTTTGTGCGGTTTATTTTACGATATTTTAACTTTAAAAACTGAGGAAAAGTTGAAAATCAAAGTCTACCACAAAAAAAAACCATAATTTATTTAAAAAAATGAATTCCACATATCTATCAGAAAAATTCGGGTTCGATTTTTTCGAGAAGTGTTACCAGTAGCAGGAGCAGTAAATAAATGAAAAATACAGACACGAGATGGTTTTATGTACATACATATGTATGCAATTATAATATAATAATATTTATTTGATACATATTTACAATAATAAATTTATGTATTATAGACAATTAATACTACCTGTAAAAATAAATATTAAAATAGAAGGATTGGCTAAAAAAAGTTCGCATTTGTTGAGAAACTGTTTGATCTAAAAAAATGTCTATTAATCATTACGCTACTCTTACATTACTATACGCTTCCAACCAAACCAACTTTTTCTAAAAGACTGAGGGCTTTCAATTTTTTGAAGGATTATGGTTTCTTTTCTAAGGAATAACTTTTTTAAAGCATTTGTAAGGTCTGGTATTTTTTGTAACGGTTTGTTTAGAGGTAGCGCTTCTTTTTTCGCATAACATAAGAATCTTAAAAATGGTGTCAAGTACATTGTAAAAAATGTTTTTGCCTTCAATGACGTCAGTGCACAAGTACAGAGCGGACCAATCAAAATTTCGAATTAAGTTATTGAGCTTCGTAAACTCGGCTTTACGAAAGCAGCGGACGCGTTCAGATAGCCTACCCGCACGATCCGATACAGTAGGTCCAATATCTATCGACACTTCGAAAGTAGGATGATGGCAGTCTTTAGGTATAGTGAGCGGGAGTGCTCGTGCTCGCTACGGTCGGATCCGAGACAAAGCACAGATCAAGCAATCGACCCAAGGAGTTTTTACATGGTTGACTTGAGACAGGGACAGGTCTAATAAGCCATCAATAAACTCATGTCGTGACATGGGCACAAGGTTGTTTGACTCGTTAACCGAAGACCAGACAGTACCTGGCAGGTTGAAATCCCCAAGAACTATTAAATGTTCTTTATCAGATAGCTAGGAAGAAACAGTTTTTAAGGCAGACAAATGCTGCTCGTATATTAGTACATCCGAAGTCGGTGGAATATACGAGCAAGTGATATAAATAGACTGGCCGGGAAGAATCAGTCTAAGTGTCTCCTTAAGGTCCAGAACACTCTGGACCTGATACTTTTCAAGGCTGCATTTCAATCTCAAATGACGTTAGTCTTGGGGAGGAGGTGCAGCTCTGCTTGCTAGTAAAGATATTCAACACATGGCTAGACGGTTTTGAAGCCTTGATTCTTACAGGCCGAAATTGCAGGTTTCGGTAAACACAATAACATGGGATGAAAATGTGAAACTGTCCATAAAAAGAGTGTTCAGCTTACTACGTAAGCCGCGAACATTTTGATAGGCTACAAAGAGGGATGTTAGTTTTTTGACTGCAGGGAATTGCAGAGGGAAGAGGGGAATGGAACAGAGGAGGAAGAACCACTGGCCTCACTACTAGGAAGAGTTATGGGGGGCCTATTCTTAGCCCTTAAACTCTTTCAGTTGGTCCACGAGACCGGTTTTAAACCTTCTCGTTTACCAGAGCTTTACTCAACCTCTGTGCGATTAGAACTTTCTCCTATAGAGGGACCGTATTCTCTTTAATTTGAAGAGGTGGAAATTCGGTTGCCGAAAATAAAACGAAACATATTTTCGTCAATGTAGTAATCTACACTCCAGTCCCCGAAGCCGAGAGACAAAGATTTGCCGCTTTGGTGGGACTCCCACCAGAGGTTTTGGCACCACAGATCTGGTACCTGTGACGCCAATATCCGGTGGTCCGGGACGTTTATTTTAAGTTTAAGTTTAAGGTATAGCTCATCAAAATCTATGGAGAGACGGCTGAGCTAAAACTGTTCGACCATGCTGGTTCCCTTATAGTTCCCTGCCAGACTTTGTAGAACCGATTCCCCAAAGAAGCGTTCTTTCATGCATCCTTTTTCACCAAAAAGAGTTAATTAAATCCGATCTTCTTCCGATAGTTCGGGTTTTTTCCCGGTTTTTTCCTATTTACTCTTCGAGTACCGAGAATGTATGCAATTCCATTAAAAAAATGGCTTTATATGTAGATTTGTAAGGTATTGGAAGATTATTTTAATAACAGGCCTGCCAGAATATATACATAGTTACATATATCGTATCGGGAAGTGCTCGGGTGAAGCAGTGCGGCGGTAATGCAGTTTCTGTCAACCTCCTAAAACTGCACGTTTTACGTGGATTTCTCAGGAGCAAAACTATGAAGAAAAATCTAAATTAAAAGCACTCTTTCTTAATGATAATCGAGATTATCGAATATACGGATTTGACGGTTAGGTGACCGTTGAAAGGAAGCTAACAATTTAGTGCAGTTACAAAAATAAGAAAGTAACCTTCAGATAAGGAAAGAAAAGAGCCAACAACCACGTAGGCTGTACCGACGAAATTCCAGTAAACCAAAACCGAACTCACAGTGCAATCCCAAGATGGCCAGAGATATGGCTCTACGTGCTTCTGCCACGTCGTAAATTTTTCACGCATCAACAGAGCAGGTCCCTGAACCGAGAAAGAACAACAATGACAAACAAATACGATCGGAAGGAGCTGAAAAGGACCTGCTAAGATTTTCAGAAATGCGGCATTAATGCATATTGACTAACCTTCAGATAGGCCATCACCAGCCCCCCCCCCCATCCCTTACCATCCGTTGCAAGGCAAGTACCCGAAAAAAAACGTTACTTTTCCCAAACGGACAGGGAGATTTTCGGACAGCTCTGCCTCAATGAAATAAGAGACAAGTCCCTTGTTTGAACGGGTATTTCCAGCAGAGAGATTGTATCTCGACTACGAAAACTATTGTTTGTCCATATCCTCCTCCGTCTTTTGGAACAGTGTGTCGAATTTTAAAATCTCTCCCGGCTCACACACTTGAGGTTGGATTTTTCCGACAAGTTCAGACTTGTCCGTTATTGTCATTTTTCGTTGGGATTTGATATTTATTTTTGTTCTGATCCTCAGCAGGTAGTGATCAGTTGAGCTAGAGAGAGAGCCTGGAAAAGAGAGAGAGAGAGAGATAACTGGGGCGAGAGTAGATCAGTGAGACAAACAACAACAACAAATCTTCATAATAATTGAAGACACAACTCGAAAATCTGATACCCAGCAAAAAAAACCTACATATTTATGTATATATAAAACCATTTTTTTAACATTTTTATAGGGCTACAAACATGAAAAAGAGTACATAGAAATCTTAGTTTTATAAAATTATTTCAGTAGAATCTATGTATGTGTATGTGTATGTGTATGTACATGTCTTTCCCACACCTATAATTATACGTGATAATAATCAGAGCTTGAAAATCCCAACTTTTGGTCCCCGATCTAGACATGCGCACATATATACAAACATATGTATGTATGTATATTATCACTGGCTTAAACGCGAAACTCCTCAAATTGACTTACATATGCACATATATCAGATATTCCGATAATCGTAAGGTCCGTCACGGCTTACGAGTTGGATGCCTAAATTGCACAACAGTCAAATATACCCTCTCAACGCAAGCGTAATCTTCTCTGGTGAGAGAGCGATTCTCTTTTACTTCGAGTAACCACCTGCTGGAAGGCAGTCATCCCATTGGCTGCACCATGGGATCGTGAAAGAGACAGAGAGCCTAGGGAGAGTCGACCCAGGACCCGACCCCCGCAGAGAGGAGGCAGGGAGCGAAGCGTATAAAACGAACGGCCCGTGAGCTGCGTTGGCATAACAGTCTCGACCTCGCAGCCAAGTGCAACCAACTCAAGAACATTCTTGCTCTAACACATTTCCAACACAATGTCTTTCATCACACGGGAATACAAGTTTGAGAGCAGCATGGTGCAGCAGAAATCAGATCAGCACACGATGGCCATGCGGAGTCTGAAGAAACTCGTCAAACCACTGCTGCGGCTAGTGAGAAAAAAGCAGCTACTGCGGAAGACTCTGTCCGAGATCCAGAACCAGAACGACATCAACGACTCGCTAGAAGACATGCGCAAAGATCCCACCGTCAGCTGTGACAACATGGCCAACGAGCAACTTGAGCAGCGCCTCTACAACGATCTGAAGAAGTGCCCCAGCAACGTGGCAATGATCGTGCAGGAGGGCCAGCAGCAACACCTCGTTTCCGTCCAGCCCGAGAAGACCTTCATCCCGGTCCACTTTGCCCGCACCAGCAGCGGAACCTTCTTCTGGACCACTGCCGCGGGTGCACGACAGCACCAGGAGCAACGGTTGCGCCAGCAGTTCGATCGCTGGGTTCAGGCCTAGGAATCGCACTGGAGATCCATCCAATTGTTCGGCAGCTTTAAATGCAAGTTTCCCATTCCCTTCCATTTCACGGATGAGAATGGCCCAGCTTTGCAGGATCGTAATCTCAGAGTGATATTAGGTATAGATTGGATTCTTTGGTCACTCTCCAGGGAAATGCAACTCCAATTGATTATCACAATCAATCGTAACTATATGAAAAATTGTGATTTGATGTGTCTTATTAGAATTATGTGTTAGTCTTATACAAATCCTTGTCTTCCATGTTTGTTTGTTAGGGTCATAGTATAAGTCCTCCTAGGTTAATAATCATTGTCTTCCATTTAAAACTTAAGATATTTTAGATTTATAAGAATAAAAATACACATGCATATAAAGAAAATTTAAAAGTGGCTTAATTATTTCAGAAGGGGAACAACCTCCTTAGGTTTCGTTGGATGGTCAGAAAGAGATTTCTTACAACAAGCCATTCATTGAAATAAATTAATTTCAAAATGTATTTATGCTGGTAACCGCAATTAGACCAACCAATCTCAAATGAATTCTTTTTCAGACTGTAATCAACAGATATTACTTCTTTTGATTGGATGCTGTGATTGCATTTTGCTAAAATTGTACATTATATGTAAGTATGTACATACAGTGGCTCCCACCTTAAATGAACCAAAACCTTTTTCAAACTTAAAGGTGGTATAACTTCTGAACCGTCTAACTCATCACTGAAAATGAAATGTATTCGGATAGATAAACACTTAATCTTCAACAAACCCAACTTAATTTATTTTTAAACAATTTTTTAAAACACTTTTCACAATTAAAACTAAAGTAAATGCCTTATTTCATCTCTCAGCTTATTTGAACCAGATTCCAAAACCAATTTTTTGTTGTTTCCTTTTTACTTTTAATTCTTAGTGGAATTAGGAAGAATGGAAGTTAGGGTATAGAGCAGACGGAATCGTTAAGTTTATGCACTTTAAAATGGTCGAGATCCGAGCAAATCCCGATTTATTTCGATTTTTGGATACGGTCATTTACAAAGCAAATTTCCACCAGAAGCAATTTTCAAATAGTTTTCAAAATAACATTTTTAACATTAAGGAAACTTTAAGCACATTTTTAAAAAGGGAAGACTCATAAAAATCTGGAAACAACAAAAAAAGCATATTTTTTGTAAGGCTTTTAAGTTATTTAAGGAACTTCAGTGAAAGTGGTCAAATTAGGCCAAAAAAATAATAGCACCACTTTTGAAAAATGTATTTAAAATTTAAGAAATTATCAACAAGTAACGAATTTCTTAGTTAACATTTTTGAACTATTAATTCTAAATTTATATTTATCATTCAAGATTTAGTTCAGTGTCCTATTTTGGCAACATAAGCTGCGCAGCGTCTTGGCATGGAATCCACTAAGTCCAGGCATAGCTTTTTGAGAGCTTTGGACCAGGACTATTAAATTTGTTCTCAAAGTGAACCGACAGTGGTTGCTTGGGAAGCACAACTGCCTTTTGTATGGTTTTTACGTCAAATATAAATTTTTCGCGCTTCTTCGCATTTCAGAGCTTTCCACGTCTTATTGTAATGATTATTCTTAGCTTTTATGATAGAAACAATGTAATATTAGTCAAAACTAATAAATATGTTTTTTTACAAATTCAATTCCACGAAATTACGGAGATTTACTTAAAATAGTGTTAATGGTATTTGTGGTATTTTTTCTTTAGGTTACAAAAAAAATATAAAGTCCGAAATTTAAAGAAAGGCAACACTTTTTTTGTTAACTATATGAAAAAACTAAAAACTTTAAACAATCGCAACAGTAACTGCTTTTTTTTGTCTAAGAACAAAATGTGTTGTAGTGGTGCTATTATTTTTTTCGCAACTGTCCAATAATTTGTCATAATACAATTTTGACGGCTCTCAATAATTTAGGCAATTTTTCGAAACAGAAAGGAAATTGACTGGCAACAAAAATACAACCAAAAGTTTTATTTTACATAAACTTATACTTTTCCGAGCTTTTTGATATTTTATGTATTTAATTGATATAACAATCGGTAGCTTAAGTCGTTTGTAAACAGACAGTTACAAAATATTAGTTTTTATGAGTCGTCGAAAGCACTTTAGGGAAAAACAAAAAACAAAGGATTAAAACTTTGACTCCAAAATAGAAAGCTATCCTTAATTTAGGAAAATAGTAGGTTCCTTATCTAAAATGATTCGTATTGCTTTAAAACATGTATCCAACAAGAAACTCGTAAAAGAACTGGCGTAATGTCCCCATTTCGATTGAAAATGCTGGTTTCTGAGAGCAAGAGGGAGTTGGCAAAAATAAATATGGATATTGATCCTGTGATCCGGAGGGGGACAAATTTTTGCTTTTTGTTCCACAAACTTTAGATCTTATTTAAAACGATTACCAAATGAAAAACACAACCCTTTGACACATATTTATATCTAATATGCATGCCTTTCGTATTATGGAGGTTGTTAAGTACCCGTGCTGGAATCGATGATGAATCAACATGGCTTTGTTATTATATAATAAAACAATAATGCTTCCTTATTTGCAATAGAAAATTACGTTGAGTTGTGTCTTTTCATCAGGGAAATGACCCAAAACAGCCCAGATAGATAGCCTAGTGACTTTTATGCAATGTTTTCTCTTGCTCAGAAGAAGAATATGTTTCTAATACGAAATCAAAGAAAAAGTTTGAGATTTGGGGGTCCTGCCAGATTTGTGGAGATGAATCTCCCAGGAAAGACGCGAAAATAAGGTTACATTTTATGACAGGGCTCTGAGCCATTTTTTTGCTGCCAAAAGCTTTTAAACAAATTATTAACCTTTCAATACAAATAAAGTAAACTATATTAATAAAATATTGGGGCAATTTCTTATAAATTTGAAGTTTTTTTGAGCTTTTATGAAATTGGTGCTATTTTTTGTTGCAGCCCAAATACCGGAATAATTACTTTTCTTTACAAATATTTCCAACTGAATCTCTCAAAGCATACCATTTCTCTCGGATAAGTTGAATTGAGCCTAAAAGTTGAAATAATAGTTGTAAAAACGGATGTATGTACATATGTATGTCCTACTTAAATAGTTCATATAAAATAATAAATAAATAGTTATCACCATTTTTTATTTAGATATTCCATTTACTGAATGTGCATAAATACATTCCATGAACATTAAAAACTGACGCCTGAACTTGAGATGAAACGAGCATAATATTCACGAATATATTATTCTCCTTCTACTTAAACAATTCAAAATAATTTGTACTTCCCAACTTCCAGAGCTAACTCTATCCGACTGGAATTCGATTTATTTCACAACAAATTTAAATGTTCGCACAAATTATTTTAACACGAGACTAAATCTGCTTAAAATCTGGATTGAAAGAAACCCAAACCAAGCCAGGAGATTGGAAAAATGTTTGAGGTGTCCGAGGCAGCAGAGGATGACAAGTGTTCACTGTATTGAAAGGGACCCTACCTACATACATATGTACTTGTCCTATTGAATGTTGACCTGTAAATTTGCTCGTTGCCGACAACATGTGTTTAACGAGGGTCTGTCACTTTTATTCTCCACTGTGTCTATTAACAATTAATATCCAACAACTAATCAAGGCATAAATTCGAAGCGAACTGAACCGTCCCGATCCCTCGCCTCCCGTACACAAGCCACTCAAATTACCAGTTCGGCGGTTAGGACCCATGAAAAGGGCCACAAGTTTCTTGTTAATGTTGCTGTCGATCTTTCTGTTTGCTTGCCGCGTCCACCTATGTACATATATATGTACATATGTATAAATATTCGACAAAGTTATACTCTCCCACGAAGAAGCCAGGGAAGAGATTTATTTAGGACCAACCATTTGGGGGAATACTTTGCACACGTGCAATGGTCTCGTATCGTGTCGGAGCTACCTAGTTATATGTAGTTAAGGAATGCGTGACGCGGCACTCAGTTAGGGAGAACCCAATAAACACCTGCCACAGGACGAGCACTGATTGGCTGAGGATTAGGGGTTGGTTTCGCCAGGTCCTATAAATACGAGCAGGAGTTGCAAATCGGACATCAAATATACTGGAAACGTTGAACAGTCAGTATCAGAATAAGTCTACTCCAAACCAACAGCGAATATGGCCTACGAAACTCTGATCATCAACACGTACAGTCGTGTGAGCGTGAAAAAGACCTACACCCCATCAAAGGCTGCGAAGAAGTTAATTAAAATGGCCTATAAACTGCTCAAGCCGTCTTTCATCTCCTCCAAGAGGCATTGGCCAACCCAAGCACGGTTGCCTCAAGTGATCGTACTTAGCGAAGAAGAATTACAGAACTTCCAAAATGACGAGTTGGAAGCAGCGGCGCCAGTGTAATTTCATCAACTATGATGGACGGAAAGGATCGTCCTAAACACCTAGAAAGAGCTTTAAGACTACACCGGAATCGGTCTCTAAATTTCCGAGCAGCTTGAACGTCTCAACAAGTGAAAAATTATTCAAATGCACCCAACTAAGCTTAAATCATTGTCTTCCATCTATGTACATATATTTAAGTGCCTGAATAAATACATAATATTATAATATGACCAGACTTCTTTGCATTTCTGACTCCTACTTTCCCTTTGTTAATTTCCCAAGGTTCTCCATGAATTCCAAAAGCAGTTCTTATCCCTTCCCGAAATACCTTCCTTTAATACAAAGACACAATAATAAAAAAAAAACAAAACCTAAGAGAACCTTCGGCTACCTTTATTTTACCTGTTTCCTTTGATCCAAACCTGTTGTTGATTCGAAAAATTCGAAACAAAAATGAGCCGAACCCGAACTGTGAAACCTGTTACGCAAAGGCAGTTTCTGATTTTTGTTTGTTCCTTTTCGCTCCTTCTTAGGATTGAGCATTGGACAGAATAAATCTCAAATTTCATTGAAACAGGTAGAATAATACCCGACAACACCATGGTGACTACCTAAGGCTATGTATAAACAAAAATAAGAGAACAAAGATCAACAGAAATATCTAGATTCTAGACCAAACGAGAAAAGCTACACGGCTCGTTCAAAATGTACCTCCAACAGCGTGCAATATAAAATATATTTTATATGCATACACAAATATTACATTCAATAAAATAAAAACGCTGGTCTTGTACAAGGCCCAGTAAATGGACAAAAAACCATCAAAGTCCGATGATCGTGATAGTCAGAGCCTTGACTACTTTCATCACTAATTCCATTGCAAATACAGGCAAAATTTTATTTTTATACCCGGTACTCGAAGGGTAAATGGGGTATATTGTATTTGTGTGGAATAACGGTTGTATGTAACGCACAGAAGAAAGCGTTTCCGACCCCATAAAGTATATATATTCTTGATCAGCATCAATAACCGAGTCGATAGAGCCATGTCTGTCTGTCCGTCTGTCCGTGTTGTTTGTCGGCTAGTTCTCAGAGACTATAAGAGCTAGAGCCACCAAATTTTGGCTCCGGACTGCTGTATGCTCACACTGAAACCAGTGTTTCCATTCCATGAGCCACGCCCTCTTCCACCCCCGCAAAAGGGCGAAAACCTCAAAAATCTACAACTTTGAAGATAAAATAAAACTAAATAAAAGAAAACCATTTCGTAAGGAATGACCATATCTATCAGATCACCAAATTGGGATCCGATTGGATCATTATTATAGCCACAATGAAGAAATTAATTTCCAGTGGCTAAACCCACCCTGTCCCGCAGATTTTGTTGTTCTTTTTACATTCTCTTATTCACACTCTGCTTCACTCGGCCTCTGCCTCTGCCCTCCCCCTGCCGCTGCCTCTGCCGACTTTTAACCCACCCCTGTGAGCGGGCGCTGCCTCTGCCTCTGCCGCGAGTCTGCAGTGTGTGGGTCTAGGGAAGAGCGGGAAGCTTAAGGAGCGTGTTGGTGTGAGAAGTGTTGTAGATGTTGATGACAGTTGAAGAAAAAATTTAAAATTTGACAAAACACCGCTGAGGTGCAGATGTAGTACTGAGTGCCGGGTATAAAAGTTGTGACGCCTAAGAAGCGTCTCACACGTCCCTTCTCGTTTTTTTGCTCTCAATGCAGTCGGCTTTCGGTTACAAAACCAAAATTTTTCTGATGAAATGCCATAACAAATCCAAAATAGTCAAAGAAGTCTGAGAAAATTCCTGAAACTCTTGATATTCCCACGCAAGGGATCCATTAAGGGATAATTGTCTTGGAAGAAAGAGCGTGCATGAGGTTCCCACGCATCAGTAGGAGCCAGGAGACAGGATCGTTCATGTCCTGCACATCATACCTGCTGCCTTTTCTAAACGTGTGAAATTTCAGATTCTTGCACCTGCCCTCATCTCAAACTCCCTGATTGGCTGTGATGCTGCGCCTCTCTTTCATACAGAAAATGTATAAATAGCGCCTCCATTCTTAGAGAGAGCATCACATACCACCCGACCGTCTAATCGAGAGCATCTCAACACGCACAAAAATCTCATAATGTCGAGTATCACCAAGCTAAAGAAGTGCAACAGCATTATGTACAATTCGAAAGTATCACCCTCGCGTCGCCTCAAGAACCTCCTGAAGCCACTCCTGGGTCACATCTTCCATCTTAAAAAAGAGCTGCCCAAACGCAGCTCCTACATTGCCTCCATCGAGAAGGAGGCCGAGTTTGACTGGCTCAAAAACGACATGGACAATATGGCCAACGAGCATCTGGAGAGCCGCCTCCTCGAGGAAATCCGCCAGTGCGCCAAGGCGGATGCAATCATCGTCTACAACCAAAACGGCTCTGGGGAACTGCAAACCATGGACCAAGAGGACTACTATGTTCCCGTTCACTTTGCTCGCACCAATGACGGCACCTTCTTCTGGACTTCGGTGCAGCCCCAAGACAGCGCGCCCTATGCCATTGAATGGAACTTCCTCGATCGGTGGGCCCAGGCGTGAAGCGTCAGCCAGAAGCTGGGACTACTTAAGCGTCTCTAACATGGGTTCTTCAAAAATTGTTTTGGACAACTCTGCAACCACCTTGCGCTAGGGCTCTAGCGGGACGGGCAGATCAGAGTTTGGGCACTTCGACTTTGGTTCGTCGATTTTGGGATTACCATGGGCACCGCTTTTTGGCAATTTTTACTACAAATGCCGAAAAAGCGGCTGGGTGACAACATTTTTGAGGAGGTGAGGTGGAAACAATTTTCTCCATTTTTCTTGTGCATAAATGAGAATCAATTGTTAACATTAGAGTAAAAAGAGTAAAAGATTTTGTTAAAAAAAAAGTCAAAAATAAACATATTTTTAAAAGATTTTATCATGTTATTTTTACGGAAAATACAGACTTTCTGCAATATGACTGTATATCAGTGCTCGGCAAGTCCCTATCTAAAGGGTATAGGACAGGGCGCTGCTGATGCGCTGCCGCTCACAAACACGCTTATTACAGTGATTCGTACCAATGCCAATATAGTGAAATGTTCCGTTTTGCGTGCGTCTTCACACACAAACATGTATATATTTATGTATGTATATATGTATGTATAAACATATTTGCAATCTGCCGTCCCTTAGGATATTAAGGATATTCCAATACAACTGACGTACTTCTTACATGTGGGAGATGTACGTTTATAAAAAAAGGCTATAATAATGATCTAATCGGATCCGAATTTGGTGATCTGATAGATATAGTCATTTCCTACGGAATTTTTTAGTTTTCTTTTATCTTCAAAATTGTATTTTTGGGAGGTTTTTGCTCATTTGCGGGGGCGAAAGGGATCTCATTTTTGAAATACACTTGTAACAGTGTGAGCATACAGAAGTCTGGATGCAAATGGGGTATCTGGATGGGTACTCTTTGAGTACCGGGTATAAAAAGAGTTGTTTGCCGAACGGACACCAAAAATATATTGAAACCACACACTTGGTTTTTCTTTCTAGCTCCAATGGAACTTGGGTTTTCAAAAACATATCAAAATTTCAACTTATCGAAACTTTTCAAAATAAAAATATATTTATATCGTAATTTTTTGGTTGACAAAATATCAATATAATGATCCATCTTGTCCATCGGCTCTTTCTTAGAGACTAAAATAGCTAGTGCCACCGAATTATGCTGACAGACTGCAGTGAAATCACTCTGATACAAGTGTACATATTTTAAAAATTAGCCCCAAATTTTTATTATTATTATATAATATATATTTTGTATTATCCAAATTTTTGAAAATAAGACAAATCTTAAAGTAACGCAGGGAATGACCATATATACCAGATCAATGAATTGGGGTTAGATTGGATCATTATTATAGTCAGAATGGATAAATTAATTTGCACCCCTTCCAGCAGCTTTTCTTAATTCTTCCACACTCTCTCATTCCACTCTCTGATTCGTGCAGTGTTTGTACATATAGTACATATGTACAAATGTACATATTTATGAATTTGATGTTCGTCATTCTGGCTATAATAATGATCCACTTCTTCAGGGTTCTGGTAGATAGGGCCATTCTCTAAGGAACTGCGTTTTTGTTTTGTTAGTTTTTTCAAATCTTTAAAATTGTGGACTTCCGCCTTTTTCCGACCCATTCCGCTGTGCAAAATTTTGAAATAAAATTTTAACAGTGTGAAATCACAACCTACCATCATTTACCTACCTATTTACCTAAATCTCTATGAAAAACTTCCTTGCTGTAGCTTTTATAGTCTCTGATATCCATGCGCTTATCAAGACTGACGGACGAAAAGAAATACATGTCTATATCGGGTCGGCTATTGACATACAACAATGTACAGTAGTGTTCAATGAAATTTTAGTGTTGCACCTCCTCACATTCAAAGACTTTTTTGAGACACTTCCAGACTTTCAAATTAAAGATTTGATACCTATTTGAATAGAGTGGAATGTAGGCTTTAAAAAACCAAAGAAATCTATACACGTTTGCATTCCATCTTCTTGTTTTTCATAACTTTTGACGGATACCATTCAAATGGGCTGTTCATTCACAGAAAAGAGCATGTTTGGCGACCTCAGACTTGTGCACAAATTATTGAAAAAACAGGATTGGGCATGTTAGGTTGAGCCCTATGAGTTCCAGCCCATATGAAGTGCTACCTTCTATCCTTTCGTTGTAGTATTGCACAAAATTGTGTAGGCTAGCATACATTTTTAATACATTACATTCATATTCCAGTTGAAAAACGCCTTTAAAAAGGATCTTTCAACAAGATAATGATCCGAAATACTCAAGAAAGCTCGCCAGAAATTGGGTTTCACCTGAAAAGATCGGCGTTTTACCTTGTTCAAATCAGTCCCTGGATCTGAATTTCATCAAAATTTGATGGGGGAATGCTAAAAGCATTATAATAAGTGAAATTCCGGCAACCAGAGCAAAGTGAGAGCCAGTGTTTAAAACATTATTGTCCAAAATCCTATTGAAGCTTGGGCCGGACCTTATTCAATCAAAATTGATAAAAAAAAAATATATATTGAACCTCAAGAAACATGTAGAGCATAAAAAAAGGGTATTAACTTTTGGGTTTGGGTTTGGGTTTTATTCAATTTTCAAAAAATTTCCAAAAAACGAATTCTC